TTTGAGGGGTTTTGAAATTAAAAACTTGAGAGTTATCGTTCATCTATGATGTAATATGATGATTTATTATATTAAGAAATGATAAAAGTGCAATTATTATGTTTACATCATCTTACATGTCATAAAATGAATAAAATTTTTTATGAAATTACCATTTCAATAATAACTCCAAAGCTTTCCTTCATATATTATATAATATGATGCCAAAGTAATGCAATTGCACTTTTGTTTTTCTCAGATGAAAATATGGCAAAACTGACAAAAAAAACTTTCAAACCCCCTCAAATACATTAATATATAAACACCAATTGATTAGCTATCCAACCATCAAATAATCTCCTCATCAACTAAAAACTCAAAAAACACCCCAAAACAACCCTAAAAACAACCTAAAAATGTCCATCTTCCTCACTTCTACCCTTCTTATCATTTCAATTATTGCTACATCTGAGGGAATGAATACTAATCGAAGTGCTTCAACCTCCGATTCTCTCCAAACCCAAAAGGATTGTAAAGTGATATATGGGATGTTTGTGCCTGTAGCAGGGTCAAGAATGCATGGAGACGCCAAAATGATGGCAAATAACCCAAATTCGTCCAATCAATTAATTGTATCTGGTGGCAAATCAAAATATTCAGTGACTTTACAAGTCGAAAACCAGCCGAAGTGTGTTGCCCAGAATAACGGAACTCCTGTAGAATGTCAAATTAAAGGAGACAAATTGTCTGGAAAATTGATTTATGACATTGAAAACGGTCCTTCTGTCTACGTTCCCTTCAAAGACACCGCAATCTTTGTTGGAAATAAATCCGAAATTGTTCTTGATGGCTACGATATGAAGGACCACAAATTAACTCTTTCTATGAATAAAGTAAAGCTGATGATTGAGCCGACAAATAAGCAAATTGTAAAGGCTTGTGGAGCGAAAAATTAGAAAAATTGAAGAAGAATAAATGTGAGATAAATGAAAAAATATATTTAAAAGTTGAAGAAAGCATTCAAAAAAATTAAAAAAACAATTCTTCAAATTATATACATATAAATTTAATATTTTTGATAAATTAACTTTATATTTTATATTTATTTTATCAGAAATAAAAATTTAGAACAATAAATAAGGGAATGAAAATATTTTTTAACAGTATTGTAACAGTAATTCTATTCTAAAAGAAGTTGAAAATTTCAAGTTATACAATTAATTTTTGCAGCTTTATGTCTTTTTTGTAACAAAAGATATTTTTAAAACATCATACCCACCGAAGCACTACTTTAATAACAATATAAGGTCAATTATCGGGTGCCGGAATTTTGGTCACCGGAATTTTGGTCACCAAGGATTTTCGGAAATTTGGTCACCAACTTTTTTGGAATTTTGGTCACCAGCGGAATTTTGGTCACCAAGTCAAAAAACGGAATGTTGGACACTGAAATTTTGGTCACCAATAGGAATTTTGGTCACCAAACGGAAAATAATAATCTTATCTAAAACTGATATCAAAGTGATAAAAAATGATTTTTCAACTCCCAGTTGATCAATTTCAATATTGATCACTCTGCCAGTTAATCAATCATCCGGAAGAGTGATCGAGAGTGATCAACTGAGGGAGTGATCAGCCATGAAAGTGATCAACATTGAAATTGATCAACTGGGGGTTGAAAAATCATTTTTTATCACTTTGATATCAGTTTTAGATAAGATTATTTTTTTTCGTTTGGTGACCAAAATTCCTATTGGTGACCAAAATTTCAGTGTCCAATATTCCGTTTTTTGACTTGGTGACCAAAATTCCGCTGGTGACCAAAATTCCAAAAAAGTTGGTGACCAAAGTTCCGAAAATCCTTGGTGACCAAAATTCCGGTGACCAAAATTCCGTACACCCAATTATCCTTGGTCAATTATCTTTTTCCTCATTTGTAATATCCTCAATTGTTGTACCGCCTTAAGATTTTAATTATTATATTTTTATTTTTAAAATACATAATTCCCTATTTTTTGCCCTATTTTTGATCAATTTCTTTATTTTTCCCCATTTTCAGTGGCTGCGCCCTATTTCAGTGGTTTGAAAAAGACAACCCTGACAAGCGATAAATTTCTGATTGTGTTTGTCTAATTTTGCAAGTCCCGAACGTGACAAAATTAAATTTAAATTTCTTTAATTTTATATGTGTATTTTATATACAGGTTGACCCAAAAGAAACTGGGCACGCTATTTTTGGCATAACTTTATTCAAATTAAAGATAATGAGATAAAATAAAGATGAAATTATAAAGAACTAAATGGAGAATAAAACTTGGACTTCTCCTTTCTGAGATACAGAAAATAAAATTTTGGGGGGAAAATTTTGATATAGTGTACCTAAAATAACATAACTTTCTTAATCCTCAATCAAAAAATCTTTAATTTTACTATATGATAGATGCTGGTAAAAACAATGCTAAGGATTTTTATCCGTAGCGACATAGCTGCTAGAGACGTCCGAGACTCTGTCTTGAGTCTTGACTCAAAACTTTTCTTGGTTTTTTTCGGTCTTGGTCTTGGGGTGTTTGTCTTGGTCTTGTCTTGGTTTTATTTTTTGGTCTTGGTTTTTGGCAATTTTGGACCAAAAATTTCTAATTGTCGAAATTTTCGGTCTCGGACGTCTCTAATAGCTGCAGATAGTTAGCATTGTTTTTACCAGCAAGAGAAATGAATGAGCGACAAAATAAACTTGGAATTATTTAAAAATAATATAAGCAAAAGTTATAAAGGATAGAAAAGTGCCCGGTTTCTTTTGGGTCACCTTGTAATTATTAAAATTTAATTTAAAATTTAAAATTGACAAATTAATAAAACAGATAAATTAAAAATAAATATTTAAAAACATCATAAAAGAAAAATTTAGGGCAGTATATTCTAATATATCATCTGGAATTTGAAGAATTATTAGAGGACAAGTGAATTACCTAATTTAAAAAATAACTCAATTAATTAATTTAATTATTTCCCTATTTTTATTGCTCTTTTTTTATTTCATTATCGTGATATCAAATGGCCAGACTTATTTTACCTAATTAAATCATGGAACAATTAGAAAAAAAGTTTGTAACTTTTTAACCGTTTTCCTGCAATATTTCTAGTAGTCATTTCATCTAATATTAACAAAAAATTTAAATGGAATATTTAATATTAAATAAACAAAAGTGCAAAAAACTAATTAATATTGCATTATCTTATGAAATTTAATTAAAATGCCCTTTAATGAAAAAAAAATAAAATTAAGAAATAATATAAGGGCAAATATAGGGCAATGTTAAGATTTCTTAAATATTTCCGGATGTGTCTTGACATTTTTTTAATTTATTAATTAATTCTCGGCAAAGTGCAATTACAAAAGCGCCTGTCTAATAATATTGCCCTTTTTGCCTGTATTTTGGGGGGGGGGGGGGGGGGGAATCAAAGGGAACGGCTAAAAGGGCATTTAATGTTTGAGTTTTTTCCCAGACGCTAATTAAGGAAATAAAATAACAAATATAGCCAAAACGCCTTTCAAAATCCTCAAATTAGCTGATATATAAACACCAATTATTTAGCTATACAACTATCAAACAATCTCTTCGACAACTAAAAAACACAATAAAATACCCCTAAAAATACTCAAAAATGGCTACCATCTCCCTCACCTCTACCCTTCTAATCATTTCCTTGGCTTTAATTGCCATAATTGAGGGAAGTGGAAGTGGGGATGCTTCAAGTTCGAGTTCAAGTCCTTGCAAAATGGGCAAGCTTGTGAACCCAACCTTACTGAAACATGAACACACAACTACTAATGATGAGAAGAAAGTAAACGTTTTAAAAGTTGCTTCGAAGAAAAGTGACCCGATCTTTAAAAATACCAAAATTATTTTGGAGGTTGGAGGAATTAGATGTGAAGCTTCCATTAAAAATACTAAAGGGGAGGAATGTAAAATACCCAGTAAAGAGATTAAAAAAGGCCCACAATCTGGAACTCTGATTTTTAGCTATGCTGAGGGAAAAGAAGTCAAAGTTCCGTTTAAAGACGTCCATATGTTTGATGACAATACGTGTAATATTGTGCTTGAAGGGTATAATACGAAGACACATGAGTTGGATTTCACCCTTAACGGGTTGTTTCCACTCAAGGTGGTTCCTGAGGATAAGAAGTGTTGATAGAAAGAAGCGAAAAGGGAAAAAGAGGGAAAAAGAAGAAATAATTTAAAAAATAAAGTGAAGTAAGAAAAGAAAATTGTTATTTAAAAATTTAAAAGTATAAGTAGATTCGTTTGTTAATTTTTGTTGGAATAAATTAAATTAGTAAATTTCTCTGGAATTTGTCTCAAATGTTGGTGAGATAATAAGTAGCTCACGATTTCTGGAAAAAAATTCCATCCAGTGTTTTTTAAGAAAGTCAACCCCAACTGTGGTTTGTACCGTGGGGGTCGGGTTGAATAAGTAGTTTCCTCGGGTCGAATTTAGCGTCAAAAAACGTCCATGTTTTGCGTTTAAGGTAAGCAGACCCTTCTCTAATTTGTACTGGATGAATTTTGAAGTTGGCTATTTTCACTTAACTTAACTATTTTTTGCGTAACATTATGTCGAGTGTCAATTTGTTAAATAACACTTTGTTCTCATTTCTTTTCTTCTTTTACATAGAAAGAAAGATAGAGAAACTAAAAATATATTTTAGTAAATCTTTTTCTTTCCTGCTTCTCATACAAAATTTATTTTAAAAATATTCTGCATTAATATATATGTTGAAGAAATTTGCCTGCTGTGCGAACAGCTGGCCGCCGTTTCCCGCTTTAGAGAGAGAAACGTTCTAATTGCAAACATTAGGATTTATTGAGTCCTAATGGGAACGTACGTTTACGCCCTACGGGTAGTAAACGCAGTCGATATGGCCTCGGTGGCTAGTATTGACCGAAGGATGATTGAAGCAATCATGTAGAGCGGAAGGTTGGACGCAACCATGATAGCCGGCTCAACGATTGAAAGCAATCTCAAGGGTCGAAGAATAGCAGGTCAACAAAGATTGGGGTGTTTTCGAAGGGAACATGGACAGAAAGGCCGTTTTCAATGTCATAAATCAACTTTCCAGACAATTTGTCTCCTTTAATTTGACATTCTACAGGAATTTTGTCATTTTGGGCAACACAATTCGGCTGGTTTTTGACCTGTAAAGTCACTGAATATTTAGAGCTGCCACCAGATACAATTAATTTATTGGTGAGACTTGGATTGTTTTTCTTCATTGCGTCTTTGGCGTCTCCATGCATTCTTGACCCTGCTACAGGCACAAACATCCCATATATCACTTCACAATCCTTTTGGGCTTGGATAGAATCGGAGGTTGAAGCACTTCGATTAGTTTTCATTCCCTCAGTTGTAGCAATAATTGAAATGATTAGAAGCGTAGAAGTGAAGAAGATGGCCATTTTTGGTTTGTTTTTAGGGTTGTTTTGGGGTGTTTTTTGAGTTTTTAGTTGTTGAGGAGATTATTTGATGGTTGGATAGCTAAATAATTGGTGTTTATATATTCATTAATGGGGGGAGGGTTGAAAGTAAAATTTTAAGAAATAATAAAAGTGCAATTACATTATGTTTACATCATCTTACATGTCACAAAATGAATAAAATTTTTTATAAATTACCATTTCAATAATAACTCCAAAGCTTTCCTTCATATATTATATAATATGATGCCAAAGTAATGCAATTGCACTTTTGTTTATCTCAGATGAACATATGGCAAAACTGACAAAAAAACTTTCAAAACCCCTCAAATACATTAATATATAAACACCAATTAATTAGATATCCAACCATCAAATAAACTCCTCAACAACTAAAAACTCAAAAAACACCCCAAAACAACCCTAAAAACAAACCAAAAATGGCCATCTTCTTCACTTCTACCCTTCTAATCATTTCAATTATTGCTACATCTGAGGGAATGAATACTAATCGAAGTGCTTCAACCTCCGATTCTCTCCAAACTCAAAAGGATTGTAAAGTGATATATGGGATGTTTGTGCCTGTAGCAGGGTCAAGAATGCATGGAGACGCCAAAATGATGGCAAATAACCCAAATTCGTCCAATCAATTAATTGTATCTGGTGGCAAATCAAAATATTCAGTGACTTTACAAGTCGAAAACCAGCCGAAGTGTGTTGCCCAGAATAACGGAACTCCTGTAGAATGTCAAATTAAAGGAGACAAATTGTCTGGAAAATTGATTTATGACATTGAAAACGGCCCATCTGTCTACGTTCCCTTCAAAGACACCCCAATCTTTGTTGGAAATAAATCCGAAATTGTTCTTGATGGCTACGATATGAAGGACCACAAATTAACTCTTTCTATGAATAAAGTAAAGCTGATGATTGAGCCGACAAATAAGCAAATTGTAAAGGCTTGTGGAGCGAAAAATTAGAAAAATTGAAGAAGAATAAATGTGAGATAAATGAAAAAATATATTTAAAAGTTGAAGAAAGCATTCAAAAAAATTAAAAAAAAACAATTCTTCAAATTATATAAATTTAATATTTTTGATAAATTTTATTTCATATGTATTTATTATATAGACCTCTAGATATCCCTTCAATTCCTTTGATATCACTTGATTCGTCCTTATTTCTTGATATTCCCGATTTAGGAGGCAAGAAAGATATAAGCCGATTTGGAGGAATTAAGAATAGTAGAATATTATTAAGGGGATTAGGTGAAAATATTTAATTGCAAAGAATGCAGAGGCGATACTGATAATTCTTCCGAAATCCGCATTAATCCATACAAATCCTTTTTTAAATCCTTATATCTTTTTTCAGTCTCTATCCCTTTCCGGCTAATGAATTTTCGATTGCAGCGTAGCAGGCAAAATATTTTTGAAGTTCGAGTCTTTGGAGTAAAAAATACTCAATTTTTGGCTTAAAAATATGATATAGAACCTAAAATATTTCTAAATTTACGCATTAATCCACACAATTGCTCCAATTTCTTTTGATTCCTGATATATACTATTATTCTGGGGACACATACATATTAGACTGAATTAAGATAATTCATTGTTATATATTTTTATTCTTATAAAAAATAATATTATTTTATTTTTGACCTTTTCAACGCTGCAAGCTAATTTTTGTCAATTTTGGAAGGCCAAGAAGCCCCCCTATAGGTGCCAGTCTGACTGACAGGTGTCACTTTTGGGGCTGACATTTCGAGGGGACTAAAGGGGACTAACTACTTAAATATGACTAAAAATTCACATTTTGCCTCACTAGAAACCACAAATTTGCTAATGTACGTGACCAAATTTATTTAATTGTGAGTACAAATTATAACTTTTATCTATATTTTTAATTATTTATTTATTTATTTATTCAAAAATTAAAAATATACAACGAAAGGGAGTCCACTAACATCGTTGTCGGATAAATTTAAATAAAGTTTAAGTCAAAAAAAAAGTCATAAATGGGAGGTCAAAGGATATGCATAAAAACAAAACATCAATTATAAATAATAAAAAATTTTTTTTAAAAAATAAATAAAAAATATATTGTGATAGGTCTTTCCAACTGTAAAATAATAGAAAAAAATTGGTATGTATTTAATAGTAAAATATAATAATTTCTAAAAAAGTAATAATTTTTTTCTAATTATTTGACAGTTAGATTTTAGTATAAAAAATTAACTATATTGAGTATTGGGGAAGCCACACATGTATAGATAGTGTAGTAACCATATAATTTAATTTAAGTTATTAGATTTTTATGTAGAAATTTTTATGTAAATGATTTTTGGGGAAATTACCATATTTTTTATTTTTATATTTAGTCTATTTTTTTTATATTTCGTTTATAAATAGCTGAGTAATTCTATGTTTAAAGGACAATATTGAGTGGGAGTTTAATGTAACTTTATCAAGGGTATTCCATAGTGAAGAGCTTCTATTAACAAAGGAATGAGCGTTTTTTGAGGATCTGCATTTAAACATAAGTCTATTAAATTGTTTATGAGATGGATGAGTAGAAAATCGGTATAGGTGAGTAGGATCTAAATGGGTAAACCCTTTAATAATTTTAAATGCAGTTACGAGGTCATAAATTTTTCTGCGGGTATTAAGAGATTGCAATCCAAAAAGTTGAAGTCTTTCAGGATAAGGAATTTTAGGTAACATGCATTTTTTGAGAGCAATAGACGTAAAGAATTTTTGGAATTTTTCAATTTGTATTATATCTTTTTTGAAATGAGGGTTCCAGATTTCGGGTGCATATTCAAGTATGGGTCTGATATAAGATTTATAGACTAATGTCCAAGTTCTAATGCTCCTAGATCTAATAGTTTTAAATAGAATTTTCATACGATAATAAGCATTTCGAACAATTTTGTCAAAATGTTTTTGAAAGCATAATTTATTATCAATTATAATTCCTAAATCTCTTATAGAATCTAAACCCATAATAATATTATCTCCAATTTTATATTTGTGCATTTGGTTATTTTTACCAAGATAGAGAACATAAGATTTATCTGAGGAAATATTAATACCCCATTGATCACACCAAAGTTCAATATTAGTGATTGTTTCAGTTAGTATATTACATTGGTTTAATGAATCATGAATTAAATATATCTTAATATCATCAGCAAATAATTTAACAGATATGCCTTTTGGAATAATATCTGGAAGATCGTTTATATAAATAATAAATAATAATGGTCCAAGGACAGAGCCTTGTGGTACACCCAAAGGTGCACTGTAATAAGATGAAAAACTATCATTGATTTTTACACGGTATTTTCTATTTGTTAAGAATTCTTTAATCCAATTGTATATTTTACCCCTAACGCCAATTTTATAGAGTTTATATAAAAGTAAGTCATGTGGGATAGAATCAAAAGCTTTTCTAAGGTCTAAATAAATGCAATCTATGTTTTTATTAGAAAATATTCCATCGAACCAATCTTCTAAGGTAGTGATCAGTTGTGTAGTAGTGGATCTCCTTGGGAGAAATCCAAATTGATGAGGAGATATAATATTATTTTCTAAAAGAAATTCTAGGATTCCATTAAAGATAAATCTTTCCATTACTCTGCATAATGAGCAAGTAATAGAAATTGGACGATAGTTAGAAACTAGTTCCTTATTTCCTTTTTTAAAAAGTGGAATTATTATAGATTCCTTCCAGATATTTGGAAGTATAGCAGAGTCAAGGGAAATTCTGAAAAGTTCAGATATATAAGAAACTAAAGAAACAGAACAATTCTTTAAAAATCTATAGGATATAAAATCAGGTGATAGACCTTCCTTGTTAGGGAGTGAATTTAACATTTTTAATAATTTACTAGAATCAATTTCAATATCATCGATAAATTTAGGATTAATATTAATGAGTTCAGGAATAATAAAGTTAGTATCAGAATCTAGAAAAAACGATCCAGCAAATATTTCACATTTGTGTTTGTCATCATAAACATAATTACCATCTACCAATAAGGATGGAATGTTATTGTTATTTTTAGAATGTCTATTAATATATTTAAAGATATTGAGTGGATCTTTTTCGATATAATTTTTTTCAAGTTTTGCATAAAATTTTCTTATTTGGATTTTAACATGAAGATTTAGACTATTGTAACGTGGTATTAAATCAGATTTACCTTTAGAGATAATTTTCCAGAGACGTGCTTTTTCTTTTATAGAAGCTTTAAGCGAAGCTGGATATCTAGGAGTGAATTTAGAAATATATGTGCCAGGTAAAAATTGATCTCTAGCAGTTAGAATGTTAGAAATAAAAGAATTATATTTGTCCTCTATAGTATAATTGCTAATAGAAGTAGATGGTAATATAGAGGACAAATAGATATTTAATAGCTTTGTATTTGGTTTGTCATATGTTCTACAAAAGATCATAGGTTGTTTAGTCTTAGGTTTATTAATACAAAGATCGAAGCAAATAGCAGCATGGTCAGACGAGAGAATGGAATCAGAAGTTTGGCAATTAGTAATACTGTCTTAACAATTAGACATTACAAGATCAAGCCATGAATGACCGCGAGTGGGTGAAGTAGTGTGTAATTTAAGACAGTTTTTATTGAAAAATGAGACAAAAAGTTCCCCTGTTGCGGATTTAGGTAAAGGGATAGAATTTGTCCATAGAACGTCCTTATTGGAAAAATTAAAATCACCACAAATAATGGAATTTTTATCTGTTTTACTAGTTAAAGTTTTGAAGAGCAGCTTAGTATGAGATATTCCAATATTAGGTGGGCGATAGATACAGAAGATATTAAAGGAGAAGATTTTAACTATTAATATTTCACAACCACCAATAGAATCAGAAAAAACAAGCCTAGGTTTTAACTCATTACAGATTAACATAGCAGTGCCCCCACCTATTCTATTTTTTCTATTACAAGTAAAGGAAGTAAACCTGGAATTTATTACTGGGTCAAAAGAAATTTGTTCAGCGTCTCGAAGCCAGGTTTCGGCTATAAGTAAAATATCAAGAGAAGAGTTCAAAAGCAGAGTAGATAGCTCATCACGTTTATTACAAATTGAACGAGAGTTAATAAAATAGGCTGTAACAGATTTATTGGAATCTAGAAAAGTTTTATGATTTAGGTTATTAACTGGAGGGTGAAAAAAGACATTTTTAAAAAGACTAAAAACATTCTTATAAAAATCTAATAACATCCTATAGCTTTTGTCAATTAAATACGGTGTGACTCCCCCGGCAACAGGCTAAGGATTTTGTTGTCTAATTGCAGGAATGGTGTCCCGAAGGACAACCATCCCCGCATAAACAACAAAATCCTTGCCTGTTGCCTTGCGCTGCTCATTGCATGACGCAATGAGCTTATGGCGCGCGTCAAGTTGGGACCGTGATAATGATTCACGGATATTAACATTTTTAAAAATTGGGATAGATTTAATTTTATGTTTATTTTTCAAAAAAAATCTAGTGGCATACTTCGTCGGAAATTCAACTTTTAATAACCTGCTCCCAACGTCCTTCTTTTTTCCCATTCTGAAAACATTGGTCGGCAATTCACTGTCAAGTCCAATCGTATCCAGCATTGAATGAACAGTTTTGATGTCATTTTCTGCCCGTTTTGTTGGAGTGTTGTCAATCGATTCTGGAAGGCCTGTGATGACAATAGTGTGTTGTCGACGTTCCTCTTCATAGTAATCTTTTGCTGACGGTTGTTCATTAAGTAGTTGAACTGCTGTTTGAAGAAGTCCACCAAGTTGTTTGATTAAAATTTTTGCGTAGTCAGGAATTGAAGAATCGGAATCGATTGCTGCTGTGTTGTTAAAATCACATGCAGTTATTTGATCGATTAATTTCTGACGTTTGTCGTTAATAGAATAAGAATTTGAAAGTGGAGACATATTGGCCTGATATATACTATTATTCTGGGGACACATACATATTAGACTGAATTAAGATAATTCATTGGTATATATTTTTATTCTTATAAAAAATAATATTTTATTTTTGACCTTTTCAACGCTGCAAGCTAATTTTTGTCAATTTTGGAAGGCCAAGAAGCCCCCCTATAGGTGCCAGTCTGACTGACAGGTGTCACTTTTGGGGCTGACATTTCGAGGGGACTAAAGGGGACTAACTACTTAAATATGACTAAAAATTCACATTTTGCCTCACTAGAAACCACAAATTTGCTAATGTACGTGACCAAATTTATTTAATTGTGAGTACAAATTATAAATTTTATCCATATTTCGTCCATATTTCGGGATTTTTCCCTTATTTTCATCCATATTTTGAAAAATTTTATTCATAATTTATGTACATATTTTCGATTTTTTCATCCATATATTTGCCAGCCCTACTCATCAAATATCTAGTAAAGAGTGGAAAAATAACTAGACACAAATGTCCCATTTTCTCTACATCTTTATTTTAAAATGTTTATTATCCTTGTTGTTTACATTTTCTCTCTCTTTTCTACGCTGCTCCTCATATAATAATAGTAAAAAGAAAAACTATCATTTATATAGTTTGTCAATAAAATGTAGAGAAAGCGAACCAGCTGGCGCTGTTTCCCGCTAGTAGAGTAGAGTCCACGGCACTGAAATTGTGCATGCTCTTAACGTAAGTAAACAAGCAATCCAATCGAGAAAATATTTAAAACACCACGGCAAGAGTCCGACGAACCCTGCAGGGTCAAGCAATTGCAGTCTACGAACGCTCTGCTAGCGGTTGTATTCAGTTGGAGTCTGGTTGTGTTCGCTGTTTTTTAGCCAATTTTTTAATGGAATTTGTAAAATAAATAAAGGATGACAAGAAAGTAATGGGACACCTTATTTATGCTTTAACTTTGCTCAAATGAGAGATAATGAGTTAAAATAAAGCTTAAATGATAGGGAACTAATTATGGAACAAATAATCAGGAATTTTCTAGATGCCTAGTCCTTACTTAGATACAACAGATACAGAGAAGGAGGAGTGAGGAAGAATTTTAGACAAAAGTTTACACCACCCTGGGTGAGCTTTTCTTCCATTCGCGAATGAGTGATTGTTGAAGCTATTCCAAACATTTATCCGGGTTAGCGAAGAACCTGACCTTCAAGATAGACCTGAAGATAAATACATATATCGGAATCTAACTAGTGATTTAGCTATTTAAGCATGGACATTCGCCTGTCCTCACTATAATACACAACATGGATGTAACGATTTGAGAAAAGGGCGTCACTTCTATTGGGCAGTTCGACATGGGATTATAATATTTACCTCGAAGTAAGGTTGTCGGTTCATTGAAATTCCGAACCGGTAAATCCTCGGTTCAGTCCAAAACTGACAACCTATCTAGAAAATAACCTTGTTAAATAAAACTCCCAGTACAGCCTCTTTGTCGGCTAAAACCTCTTTCAATTTAACAGCTAAAGCGATTTATTCGAAAAAATATAAACAAAAGGAGACAGATATTGTGAAGTTTATCGTTTTTTAAGGAATCTACTTGAATTTCTTTATTTTTTACTTCACATTAATTTTTGTTTCGTTTTTATCCTTCCATATTTACACTTTCTGTTATCCCCTTTCTTTACATTTATCCCTCACATTTTCATAGTACAAGCCTTCGGGGAAATTTTCTTGTCAGTAGCGGTAATTTTGAAGTCGACATCATTAATTTTGAGAAGAGTTTCATGCGTTCCAACATTGTAGCTTACAAGCTGGATGACACACTTGTTGTCGGTGAAGAAAAAAACGTCTTTGAATGGAACCTTAAAATGTTCGGATCGTCATTGTATATACACTCAGATTTATACAATCTCCATTTTATGTATGATTTTTAACTTAATCAGCCATCGGTAGGAGGATAAAGGTGTGGAGGGGGGAGAGGTGAAGGAGGGTCAAACATTGTGAGCCCTTGGAAAATTAGAGAATGCACTTGGCAAGAGGATATCAAGGAGTATAATATACACCCAGATTTATACACTCCCCGTTTTTGCACGATTTTTAACTTAATTAGCCATTGGTAGAAGCATAAACGTGGGGAGAGGTGAAGGAGGGTCAAACATTGTGAGACTTTGGAAAATTAGAGTCGGCTGTTGTTAAAAGGATATCCAAGAAACGCTCATTTAAGTCAATCCTATTATTTTGTTTCAAGTGGATTAATATTGGTTAAAAATGTCAGAAAAATGTCAAGAAAATGTCAGAAAATGTCAAAATTATGGCAGAAAATGTCAAAATCCTATAGACATTGGGGTTGTAATCATCAGTGATTGCCCTTTTGTGGGCCACCACTTACCATCGGAGCAACTTGAACATTCCAGATGGTATGTTAGCGACAGGGGCCTTTTTAATTGTTACGGCAAATTATACAAACCCACACCCACCTCAACAATAATATTCTCAGAAATGAAAAATTTCATAGTTCCAGTCAACGCTTCGTTGCGCATTCCGCAATCGCCTGAACCCTCTGTCTTAGCCATACATAACACCTCATTACCGACAACCAAAGCCACCGAGGTATTGCTAAACGTAGCCCCACCAGTCACTTTCAAGGTGTTGGATATGTTTTCAACGTTGGGTTTGAAAGTTTTCCTTTTGTTATTTTCCTTGGTATCCGCGTGATCAAGCATTCCAAAATAGGTTGTACAACCAGTAGAGGTTGAAGCGCTTCGATCGCCTGCTCCCTCGGTCATAGCAATCATTGAAATGATTAGAAGAGCAGAAGTAAGGAAGATGGACATTTTTGGATTGTTTTTAGGGTGTTTTGGGGTGTTTTTTGAGTTTTTTAGTTGATGAGGAGATTGTTAGATGGTTGGATAGCTAATTAATTGGTGTTTATATATTAATGGATTTGGGGGGGGGGGGGTTGTGAAAGTTTTTTGACAAATATTTCGTTAGATTTACATCACATCACATCTAGGACGATGTTTTGTAATGCACTTTGTTGCGCAATTCATTTTTTCTATTTCCCTATTTGCCCTTTTAACAGTCTTTCATGCTCCTCTAAAAATAATAATTTAACGGAAGCTCCCCAAATTCAAAAATTTACATCATATAAAGAAATTTATTATGTAATAAACATTTTATTTATTTATTAAAGTGCAATAGGAAATTTTAAAAATAATTGGGAAATTAAGTACTTTCCTCTTATTTTTAAAAAAATTAAGGGAGGAAGAGGGGGTAGGGAAACTAAAAATTTTCTCAGAGGTGATATGATGAAATCATAACGTAATCTAGTCAAAAAACCTTTCAAACCCCCAAATCCATTAATATATAAACACCAATTAGTTAGCTATCCAACCATCAAACAATCTCTTCAACAACTAAAAAACCCCAAAACACCCTAAAATACCCAAAAAAACACCCCAAAACACCCACAAAATACCCAAAAATGGCCATCTTCTTTACTTTTACCCTTCTAATCATTTCCCTTCTTGGAATCACCGAGGGAGTGAAAACTGTCACTCCAAGCGGATCATCCTCTACTGGCTGTGTGACCTACATGGGCCAAATTGAGCACATGGAAGGAGACTCTGAAAACATTCAATGGAAGGAAAATACTAATGGAGAAGCTCATTTAATCCTAAAAAAGTCTATAGAAGGATTAGACAAAGTAACTCTCATAATTGAAGGCAAGACTTGTAGTGCCTCCCTCGCCAAGCCTGGAGCGTGTCAAATTGATGACCAGGCCCATGCCGGTCAATTAATCTTCGAAACTGCAAAGGCTAAAATTGTGGTCGAATTTGGTGCAGCTCAAATCTTCTCTGGGAACATGTGCGAAATTGAAATTGAGAAGTATGACACATCAAGCCATCAAACTTTCATTAAAATCAACGAGGGGAAATTTAAAATTATCCCCGTTTCAGCACCTATGCCTATTGCCTGCAAATTTAAGAAGATTTGAAGAAGAAAAATGTGGGAAGTAAAAAGAAGGGAAGTAAAAATGAGGGAAGAAAATGTAAAATTATAAGAATGGAGAAAGCATCTTTAAAATTAATTTAAAAAATAAATAAAATTGTTCAAATTTTTACGTTTAGTACGACCAATAATAGCTTTCTTTTACTTATTATCTTAATATAAATTGTTAAAAATAAAATTATTTTTATAGCTGTTCTTATCCTCAAACAATTTTTTTTTAATTTTTAAAAAAAATGTTAGTCTGGAAAACTAGAAAATCCATTTCATTATTCTTATTGTTTATCCTTTGTCCCTATATAATTTAAAAAATTGAAAAGGACTTGAAATATTGAGAGAAATAGGGATGTGTTTATTATTTTGGAACACAGTATTGTAAAACATATAGCTATTAGAGTTTCACCGGAAGTTCCGGTTCCGGTTCCGGAAAGTTCCGGTGTTTTTTTGGTTCCGGTTCCGGTTCCGGGAACCGGAACTGAAAATGGATCCGGTTCCGGTTCCGGCTCCGGTTTACAAATCGGTTCCGGGCAAACCGGCTTTTTTACACTCCTAAAGATTGATTTTTTTAAAAATATGGGCTGGCCTTCCCCGGCTGGCCTTGCAATATTCTCAAAATTTTCGCCTGCGGCGCTGAAAAAGAAAGAAATCTGGCTTCTTGTCGTTCCAAATTCTCAAAATTTTCGCCTGCGGCGCTGTTAAATGAAGTTGAATGGTATATCGTAGGATTTGGATGGATGAAGGTGGATTTTAAGTTACATCATGTGATTTCAAGGGGCCATAGGTAATACCGAGGGATTTGGGTGTGATACTGAGAGATTGAGCTATGCAAGGTAGATATCAGGGATAGGATAGCTGGGGATTTGGCCTTCATAACTTGGCATTTCTCACTTGGGTTTCCTAAATTCACAAAATTTTCGCCTGCGTCGCTAAATAGGAAGGAAGAATAAATTATTTTTTAGAATATACATGGGTTAATGGGGATTTGGATGATATTGGGTGATTTCGTGTATCAAAATTTATAATGGTATATTGGTGATTTGATATCTGGTGGGATGAAGGATAATTGAAATTCGGGGATCAAAGGGGAAATCATATGCTATCGGGCATATCAGGGGATTTGGGTAGTTCGGTTCGGTTTTACAGTTCGGTTTTGGTTAACAGAAAGTTCCGATTCGGTTAATCGTTTCGGTTAACAGAATAATTGGGGGAAACCGACAACCCTACTTTAAATTAAAATAAAAAAAAATTTTTTTTTAATTTTTCAAATTTGCTAGCAAATTTTTTGAAAGTTCCGGTTCCGGGCCGGAACTTAGAAGAGTTCCGGTTCCGGTTCCGGAAACCGGAACTCAAATTGGATCCGGTTCCGGTTCCGGTCAAAATTTCGGTTCCGGTGAAACACTAATAGCTATTTAATTCCTAAGGATGTGCAGTAGGCGTCGTGATGGTTAACACAACAGTCCGGTCCAGACGTGGGCGAAACGTTTCGTTTCGTTTCGTTGTTTCGTATGTTTCGTATGATTTTTAATGTTTCGTCTCGTTTCGTTACGAAACACTTTTAAATTTGTTTCGTTTCGTTTCGTTACGAAACACCTGTGATTTTTCAACGAAACGAAACAATTTTTTAAGCCTAAACTAAGGCCAAAATCTATAAAATTTACCATCTTTTATTGAAAATTTAAAAAATTTTCGCCTGCGGCGCTGAAAAAAAAAAAGAATTTCGGCTTCTTGGCTTTCCCAAATTGTCAAAATTTTCGCCTGCGGCGCTGAAAAAGGAAGATAGCAATTACTTATATATACAAATCCGTTTATACTCCACTCCCTAATCCACATATACATATTACTTAATCGACGACAAATTCTATTACAGGACTCGCATCATAATTTAAAAATTGCGGATTGCGAGTTGCGGAAATACTGGAACCGGAACTTCCGGTGCTTAAAATAAAATTTCTGCGGTGCTATTTTCTGCGGTGCTTAAAATAAAATTTCACTTGAAAAATATTCAATTTTATTTGAAAAAAAGCGTCGCCAAAAATTCGGCTTCGAAAATGATTGACCCCCTCCTTCCCCGAAAATTTTCATTGCTACGGGCCTGGCTTATGGGACACAATTGTTGTAAATAAACCAATAACTAAATCATTTATAAGTCATAGGCGACTAATAAAGTATTTGAGGTCGAATAATTTCGAAATAAATGTAGTTTTGAAAATTTTTTGAATATTAAATGTTTCGTTTTGTTTCGTTTCGTTTCGTAAGATTTTGGTTGTTTCGTTTCGTTTCGTTAACGAAACGATTTTTAAAAAATTTTGTTTTTTTAAAAAAACACATCAGTCCGGTCTACTGAAGATGCTGGTTCGCTCCCAGCCGCCGAATAACCTTTTGCACTAGCTAAAGGAGAGAAGTAGCTAGAGCCGAGCTGCTTTACTGTATAGATCCATTTGCTCCATTATTGAATGACCAATTTAGGTGGTCATTCAATGGTGGACCTGATGGATATATTATTCACATAAGTCTTTTATTAATCCCGAAATTCTATGCTCCACAACTTAGCGAAAACCGAAGAAAAAGTTTGCTGAATTGAGGGGTTCTTTGAGGATCTACTGTATTACCAAGTATTTTTTGGTGTTACTCATACTTCCAAACAATTTTCAATAATGTCGGAACATTTATGGCATAAAAAGATGAATTGGAATTTTGATTTATGTATACATATTAATTTCTTAACAATCCTCTTTGAAAAATATCAAAAAATTTAACTTATAAATTTTCTTTATATATTTTAAAGACTGTTAGTCTATGTATTTTATATCTTGTGTTTGTTCGTATAAATAAACTAAAAGAGTTCTGACTTTAATTAATAACAATTTTTACTTGAATGGTCAATTGGACGTAAGAGTAACGTGGAAAATTGCAAGGGTATAATAAAATATTGAAACATTTCATTCATTTTTCTCTTTCATTTTCTACTCCTCATAGAAAACTTATAAAAGAATTAGTCTACTTAATATATAAAACGAGAAAAACACCAGGCAGTTAAGCGAATCGACTGGCCGCCGTTTCCCGCTTTTGGAGAGAGATACATAAACGTCTCTAGTTGTCTAGGACGTTGTATTGCTTAAAAGAGTTTGCGGCCTTAGTGCCAGGTGAGACTCAAATAAGTACCCTTCGAATGGAAGGAGAAGGAGAATATGGTGATAGCACGTAATGAGAAACCGCTGTGGTGAAGTCAGCGAGAGTGGTATGGCCATGTTGATTTTCCTCTCAAGGCGGTTGTATTCGGAAGGAGGGTTTCAGTTGCTAATTCGCGGAAAATTTTTTTTGAATGTCTATGGAACTTGAATTTCTGTCCAAAACTCTGGCCAGTGATCGAATAACGGGAAAAATATTTCTGAAAGACATAAAGGAATATACACTCCCATGTTTGGGCTATATAATGCCTTGGATGTAGCATGTGTCTGTAGCATGTGTCTAGGCGTAGAGGGGTAAATTTAATTTTTAAATTGCCTGCCAGTAAAATTGACATTTTTTCATTGATTCTCTCTCAAAAATAATTTTTTTTTAATTTTCTGGCTGCCTGCCTATTTACTACATATTTTTAAAATTTTTAATTAAGAATCCTCCATTAATTCTTTAAAATGCTATTAAACATTTTGTTTGTCTGTTTGTTAGCTTTTCTGGTTAATCTAAACAATGTTTATGGTGTAGGCAATGAGGAAAATGGGAAGTAAGTAGTATATTATTAAATCAGAATTTGTTTTGATTTTTGATTTTAGTTAAATTCTGACTTTCTTTGACTGTATCTCGACAGATAATTAATCATTTAAAGACATTTGGGTAATTAGATTTTTTTCAAATTTTCTTCCTATTTTATTCCGAGGATAATTATTTTAATATTAACACTAAAAACTTTTTCCTTAGAAAGATTAACATAAAAAATTATATAAACGATTATTACAGGCTTGATTAATTATAAAATAGGCTACATATAAGCTAAAATTAGTTAATAAAATCATGTTATTCTAGTAGATTAAGGATTATTTCAAGTTTACTGAATCTTTTGAGCCTTTCCTAGACTATTTGACAGAATTTTGTTAATCAGAATATTCCTATATGTAAAAAAAAGGAATTCTGATTTTAAAGTTTATCTTTCTCTGTATTATCTTCTCCCTGTTCTGTTTTCTCCATGTTTTCTCAATCTTTAATGTGAGAATGATTCACCTAGCAGCTTTTAAAACGCTTAGGCGGGGGTTAAACGATCTAAAAAGGAAAAAGAGAAAGCATTAGTCGATGCCCCGGAGCTCAGAGGTAGAGCTCCTGCATATAGTGAGCGAAAGCGCCTAGCAACAACTAGCAAGTGCCCGGTGGCTAAACTTTTGCAAACTCTTCTTTTTTTAACTTTCTTTCTATATCTTTCGAAATACCTATTCTAAAATTTATTTTAAGTGTTGCGCAAGTCAAAGCTAAAACAAAAACACGACAATTACACATTATTCCCGAAAACGTGGACAATAATACTTCTATCAAACTCAAATCAAAAGTAAACCGCTCGAGAATGCCGTCAGCATCCTATGCTACCCCATCTGAAGGAAAAAATGTTTTGGAAATAAATAAGAAATTTAGCAGAAAAAATTACATTAGAAATAACCAAGTTCCGTTCAAAATTCATCAACTTGACGTCCTAATTAAACATATTAATCAAAATAAAAATTATATAACCGAGCCGGAAGAGTTGGAAAATTCAATTAACGAAATTCGCGAAGTTCTTATGTGTGAGGATAAAAATGTTTTGGTTGAAAAATTAGACAAGTAGGGAATAATTAATTATGTTTGTTGAATTTGGACTTGCAGATGAATATATCCGAATTATGGGGTTGGTTGGTGGCACAGTCGGATGTGCTCCGGTCGAGGCATTCCATTATGGTTCTATTCTCTACATCCAATAAATTTTTGGTCATTGTAGTACGTGGGAGCATAAACCTATTTCGAAATATATGTATACCAACCGATTCGTCTTGTCAATCTGAGTTCGAATATATATGTATAAACCTTTTTTCTAGAAGAATAAAACTCGCAGAGATAAAGGCTTCTTAAAATCGAATATCCATAGGGTGGGGTCAGCAATTTTGGGCTCGCTTGACTCGCAAAACTTTTTTATTCAAGATCCGATCTCCAATTTACTATAAAGTTTAGTTATCTATTAATTAATTTTAAAAGATTTTTGGCCGAGAACGAAAATACGATCAACACGTTAAAGAATGCACCGACAACTATAAGACAACATTTAGAAAAAAAGGGTAAGGATAATGTGCCTGCTTTTGGCATAAGTTTAAGAGAGGAAGCCCAAGAGGCTGTTATGTCAATAAAAAGATTATTGGAAGCCGGAAAACTTTATTAGAAATTTTAAAATTTTTTTTTGGTTGAGATTAAAAGAATTAAATATAGAGGAACTTTAAAACATTACAAATCTAAATGATATTCATTGACTATATTCAAAACAATGTTTTGGCCTTATTTTTATCCCCTTATAGCTCTCTAGTTTTCAATTGTATATATTTTACAATATGTTTATTTAAATATATATAATCATTTTATTTTAATTTATCACTAAAGCAAGACTGATAACAAAGTTAAACACAACCAGAAACAATTGATAGCCGCACATCCGAGCGCTTGATAACTTATTTTAAAGTAGATAGTAGTCTCACAGCATTAGTAATTAAATAGCTTATGCTTAACAAAACAAGCTCCAAAAATGTCCTTGTCGATCGGGAATAAACTTGGAAATATGTACAAATATGAGTTGAGCAAATTTCAATTCAGCCGTCATTTATTATAAATTAAACTGATCCCATATTCGTTTGATAGCGGCCAAGACTTTAGCATTGCCAATCTTTAATATAAATTTTCATTTAGAAAGAGAATAAAATAGGTGATTTATATACCAATTTCAATCTAATAATCTTCATTTGAATAGTGTTGAAGTTTGCAATCATAAGCAAAACTCTTAGTCATTGAAAGTATGGTTTAACGTGCAATAGATAAATAATCGAAAGGCAGGATTGCATCACTTCTAAAAATTAAAACTTTTAAAACATAACAATAATTTGTTTAAAAATATAAAAACATTAATTAAAAATTTAAGTTTTTACAAGTTTTTGCCATCCAAAGCCCTCTTAACAACAAAATCAGTCAATAATAATGCATTAATTTTTCTTGTGAATATCATATGAATTGATTTAACATTAATTGATTAAAATTTTTCTCCTCTTAGCGAGGTAGTCTAGCCATTTAAAATAAGAAAACACTAGACAATAAATTATAAAAACAATAACAAATAATTAAACGATGTTTATAAAATATAATAAAAAATAATATGATAAATGGATAATTGAAAGATTAAGCAGAGCATAGCCCCGTAGAAATAGTTTTGACTAGTCTCTTTTTCTCTGTCTATAGCCCCTTGTGCATTCTCACTACGATACAAAATTATTAGTGACCGGGGCCGGACCGGATCCGGCCGGATTTTTCCAGAGTCCGAGTCCCAAATCCAGGTTTTTTTGAAATTTCCGGATTAAAACCGGACCGGATTTATCCGGAAAAATCCGGCCGGATCCGGTCCGGCTAAAGATGCAAATCCGGAATCCGGTTCCGGAAAAATTGATTTTACCGGTCACTAAAAATTATATTTTTTAAACACAACGCCAATAATTAATTAAGCGGTTTGAAATTATTTAAATTCGGCAAATGATGTTGTTTCAAATGCTTTTATACTGACTTGGCCTTTTTTTTATCTTTTAGGGGCATAGATAATATCGGCTACAAGGATATTCGTGTTGGGCTGTTTTGTTGATGTTTTTCTCTTTGAAAACACTCAACTTTTAGCAAATCATAAGGAAAAGTCAGCGCGATTCCTCGCATTACGCGTTGACATGCACTCTAAATCAATTTTTGGGGCATGCTTTCCCTATAGGGGAAATTTTTTGACTGACAGGCCTGTCGACCTCTCCATTTAACATAGAGAGATTTATTCATTGCCTAGCTATTAGATTTCTCTTAAAAAATTTTTTTCTCAATTTTATTTAAAAAAGTATTGCCTTTGAATTTTTTGCTTATCGCCCAGATTTCTTTACGGCAAAAATCAAAGAAATAGAGGAAAATATTTTTAAACATCAAAGCGCCCTCATCTAATACAAGTCCATTTTTGGTTGAAATTAAATGCTTAAAAACAATTAAAAATACAACAAAATTTGTTATTGTAAAATGTGTACAAACAAAAATAAAATTATTATTCGTCTATTAATGTTTTCAACATTTTATTTAATGATTTATTTAACTACTACAGATGCTTTTGGGGGATTTTTAAATTGGTAAAACATGACAAATTCTTTTGATTGCCGACAGCCTTAGAAAATTTACCAATAGGGCAGGCGACCTCCCGGAAGTTACTGCGACCTCTTAAAAGTTTTTGCTTGACGGCTTCGTCATCTCAATTCGTTGGGAGCAGGCCAACTTACCGCGAGCCCAACTTACCGCAGAGCTATAACTTTGTTCAGAATTCTCAAATCCGGGACAACATGGTATGATTCGACGCGCCTCGACGAGCTGAATCGAACCATACCAGGTCATGGATTCGAGAATTCTGAACAATTTATAGCTCTTCGGTAAGTTGGGGTGTACCCCAATTCGTTTTACTGACTGTCTGTTAGATCTATGTCTATTAAGTGTATTAATTGTTGGACTTGCTCTACCTACTTCCTTACAAAGCAATTAATATAGGGAAGAATGTTTTCTATTTGATTATTTACTTTATTTTTTCAGTCTCAAGCCAAAACTTCAAAAATCAAAAAACCGCGGAATTGAAATCGAGAATAATGATCTAGTGGATAATAACATGACCAAAGACACCCTTCATATTTCTCAAAGCAAGGCAGAAATTTCCAAACCAATTGGCAAACAAATATCTGAAGATATAATTGGAGAGATAAGAAGTGTAAAGGTTATTTTAAACTTTTGAAGAGCAAGTTTTCATATTTAATAATTTCAGAAGTTCACCGAGACTTCCCATGCTTCACCATCAAATAGTTATTCTGCCAAACCCTCAAGTTCAAAGACACCTTCCAAAAACTATTCAAAAAGTCAGCAAAAAGGAAAGAAACTACCCACAATACAGGAAGGATGCATATATTACAATCAGGGAAAGTACAATGAAAACATGGAAAAACAGCTTGAGTGGGAAATTCATTCTCTCAAAACATTAATTGGACATATGTATGAAAAACATAATGTACCAGAAGGCGCAGAAATTTTCCTTAATGATATTTTAAAGCCAGAAGAATTAAAAGAATTTATCGAAAACATATGCCAAGCTATAAATTATGCTGAAAACCAAAATCATCTAATTCAGTTATTAGATGGGTAATATTTGTACATATTTTAAAATATTTTATTCCTGAACCTGAAATTTCTTCTTGACCATTTTTAGTATAATTTTAAAATTTTATGCTAAACTATGGCCAGCGGTACTCTACTAATAACCGTATTTTTCGATATTTATAGGCATTACTTATTTGTAGGGAACGGATTTATATGGACTATTAATCGAAAAATATGGACAAAAAATCTTAAAATATGGACTGAAATATGGAAAATATGGATTCATAACACTATCGGTCTTATCAAGTCTTATCAACATATGCTAAAACTATGTTTTTTGGACGTTTCAGAACCCAACTAGACCAGGAAAAAATATGGAAATCCATATAAATCCGTTCCTTACTTATTTGTAATACGGTATTTTTAAGTTAACAGTTTATTATAATTAGGGTTGGGATTTATATGGATTTCCATGTTTTTTTCCTAGCTTATTTGGGTCGTGAAACGCACGAAAAACGTTGTTTTAGCATATGTTGATAAGACTGTTAATGAATGAGTTCAATCATATTTTTGCATGTTTTGGCGTTCCGCCCATATTTTTCATATTTTATCCATGTTTTGTAATTTTTTGTAAAATTCTGCCAAAAATTGGTCAAAATTTTTAAATTTTTGGAATTTTTTTTGTCAAGAATTAAAAATTATTTTTTCAAAAATTAAAAGTTTAAAAAACTTTTGGTTAAAATTTTTCGAAAAAATTTTCTGATCAACTATAATAAAATTAATTCCTCTGGAAAACTTTAATCGAAAAAAACCTTTTAAAAACGCTTTAAATGAACAAAATCAAATTATTTAAATGTGAAAATTCATTTTTCCTTTATACATTTTCATTTTTCTGTCCATATTTGATCCATATTTTGGATTTTAGTCCATATTATATGTCCTTATTTTGAGATTTTTAGTCCATAGTATAAATCCCATCCCTAATTATAATACATGGATTACGAGCTATAAATTAAATCTACATGTAACCTTACAAAATTAATCTTTAAAATTAAAGTTTTATGAGCGAGAACGAAAAAATGCTCGAGAAAGAGAAGAAAGAAGGGGAAAAACCAAAAGAATTAACTCCAGAACAAATAGAGATGAAGTATGTCCGAGAAAATTATGATGAAATAATTAATGTAATTAATAATGAAAATATAACAACGACTGGCTATAGTTTACGTGAGGATATTCGAAATATACTTGGAAGACTTATACAAAAAATATCTAGTCAAGGAAAATTTTATGATTATGAAGGAATAGAAATGTCTAGTGAAGAAGATTGAAAGAATCAAGAGTTATAGGGAATTTTACAAGATTTGAACAAAAACGGACGGAAGAAAAAAGGAGTGGAAGAAATGTAGAGTTGTATAAACATAGGAGCGTCTTTCGACAGAAAAGATAATAGGGAAACAAAATGATGTAATGCATATAGCTATTTAATTCCTAAGGCTGTGCAGTAGGCGGCGTGGTGTAATGGCTAACACATCAGTCCGGTCTACTGAAGATGCTGGTTCGCTCCCAGCCGCCGAATAAACTTTTGCTCTAGCTGAAGGAGATAAATAGCTATATAGATTTTGTTTCTCCCTCTTTTGTATGTTATTTTCTATCGCAAAACGCAAATCTTTATTATTTATCCTTTTTATAAACATACTTTTTATATATGTTCCCAATAATGTTATGGGACGGATACATATCAGGGAGATTGATAACTTATTTTAAAGTAAGGCGAGACATATCCACATCAATTTATTTATTGTAGTAAAGCAGCTGGGCTATAGCTTTTCCTCTCCTTCAGCTAGTGCAAAGGGGTTATTCGGCGGCTGGGAGCGAACCAGCATCTTTAGTAGACCGGACTGATGTGTTAGCCATTACACCACTCCGAATACTTTACAGCCTTAGGAATTAAATAGCTATATGCTTTACATTATTAACCAATTATTGTTATAACAACTACATTTTCCCATGTAACACTTTGTACTTCTCTTTTTTCACCCACATATGTAAATCATTTCCACTTTACTATTAATCAGTTGTAGTTATGCATGATTATATACTCTGTTCCAAAAATATACATCCATCTATATTTTGCGGCTTAAGTCCGTAAGTTGTTAACGGATTTGAATAAAAATTTTATACAGAATGCAGAAAGACGTTTTAAAACTATATATAAAATTTGAAAAAATTCTAAAGATGCACTTTTATATATTCTAAAGATGCACGTTTTAAAACTATATATTTTATATATAGTTTTAAAACGTACTTGCAACTATTATTTGTAAAATAGGTGTCCCATAAATATACATCCGCTTCCAAAAAAGTTATTTCCAACGATAGGAATTAACTTTTTTGTTGTCTCTTATTTCCACCTTATGTTGATTATCATAACTATGTATTTATTCGAAAACTAAATAAATATTATGAATTGGATTATGAATTGGATATTATGAATTTAATCATTGAGTAGTTCCGAAAATAGTTTCAAAAGAATGACCTGCATAGCTTAAAGATTCGCGATCATTTAAAGATAAACAATAATCTGATTTTTTTATCATTCTAACAATCTTTGATGCCTTTAAAGTGCAAGTTTCGTATTTTTAAAGACAAATATTTACTTGTTTTATAATTTTTAAACAAATATTTTTATTTCAAAAAGAAAATATGTCTAACTTTGTTTACTTGGCTTTATGTCTGTCTGGACAACGCTATCATACACCTCGAGGGGCTGTAGTTTTTTGGCATATTTCCAAATCTATCTCTAATAGACAGTCAATAAAATATTTTAAAGTCTTTAGCTGTTGACATTCTGTCTTTTTGGCTATCTCTTGGCCATGGCAATTTTATATTTGCCAACACTTTTATTTTCTCTATCTATTTCCCCCCTCGGACAGGAATAGGACATCATTCCCCCCTCCCTTCTCTCCCTTCACTATTATTGAATTTTTAATATAGATTTTTGATTTTTTCATTAAAAATTTTTATTAATTAAAGTTAATTTGCCTTTTTTAATTAAACATAATTAAACAAATTATTTAAAAAACTCAAAAAATGTATTCGAAAAACAAAGGAATTATTCAATTATTTGTATATTCACTTTTAGCTACTAGTCTATTTATTTTTCTGTGTAAACCACAAATTGTGGATGCAGGGAATTGCTTCAGAAAAACTAAAAAGAGGTGGCGTTTAAATTCTTTCTCAGAATTTCAAATTAGAGGTCGGCGCGGGACGGGATCCCGACGGGATTTTCCGGGATCCCGCTCCCGAAATCCCGGATTTTTTTGATTTTCGGGATCATTCGGGATCCGGGATTTTTTCGGGATTTATCCCTCGGGATCCCGTCCCGGCATCGGTTAAAAAATAAAATCCCGACTCGGGATCCCGGACATTATTTTATAATTTTCGGGATTTTTAAATTAGCATATCCCAAGCATGTCTTATCTAGTAATTCTCAAAATTTTCGTTTGCGGCGCAAAAAAAATGAAGAAAGCTGCCTTAAGGAACTCAAAAATTCTCAAAATTTTTGCCTGCGGCGCTGAAAAGGTGAATTATTTTAGCCTACGGTCTTCGAAATTTTAAAAATTTTCGCCTGCGGCGCTGAAAATGGAAGAAATCTGGCTTCATGTGCTCCAAAATTCTCAAAATATTCGCCTACGGCGCTGCAAACGGAGAAATTTGGAGGTATTAGTATATAGTGGGATGGATTAGTATAGTATATAGTGGATGGATTAGGATGGATTAGTATATAGTGGGATTTTATCAAGGTACCTAGTGATTAATCCACCGATATCCCTATAAATCTATTAGATTTTTACAAATTAATTATTATTTACGCATAAATTGCAGTATTTTGATGCACTTTATTTAAAAAAATTTTAAATTTTTTATTTTAAAAAAATCCCGAATCCCGGGCGGGATCCCGGATAATTTTTTTCGGGATTTTTGAAATTCGGGATTTTTTCGGGATTTATCCCTCGGGATCCCGTCCCGGCCTCGGTTAAGAAAAAAAATCCCGACTCGGGATCCCGGAAGTGCGATTTTGCCGACCTCTATTTCAAATTCTAAATTGTTGCGCAAGCGCGAAAATTATTCATTCAAATAAGTTTCAAACAATTATTCATTCAAACCATAATTACAAATAAATACCTAATTATGTTGTACCATAATTACAAATGTTTTTTTCAACTACCCATAACAGGGATGTGCGTTAAAAATCTTTCTTGCCCAATCTTTCTTGGCCAAAAAGCCAATTTTTCAAATTTTCTAAACACGTCAAACACCATAACGCCAAGATCGGCCAAAAATGAACGCCAAAGTGCAACGCTAAAAGGCCAATAATTTAAGAAATTTAATATGCAATTAAATATTTTAAGAGACTTATGTTTTTTGCGAAGTTCCGGTTCTGGTCTTCCAGTTCCGGTTAAACCTGTGAGATTCTTTCCAAATTACCAAAAGGGGGCATGGCTCACAAAAAGGGGGCAAAAAATAGTAATAGTTTGGATGTCGCCACCTTTTTCTCCCGATTCCATGACCATTGTGAGCCTTTTTCTTGAGAGGAAAATAAATCTGAAATTCATATAGTGAGAGGGTAGGATTTTCTAAATTACCGACAATTCCATGGTAAATTGTGGATAACCGAATATTTCTTTCATGCAGATCTGGCTCTAACGGTACAACGCCCAGACCAGAATATGATCAATACCAGAATATTGAACATAAGCAAGACTACACAGATAATGGAAATAATGATGAGCAAGACTACACAGATAGTGGAAATAATAGTCCGCAAGATTATCACGTAACCTCTAATACACGAGCATACTATTCAAACACATCAATGAGTTATGGTGAAACTAGTGATAAATGGGGCTCGATCAGCGATTCTGAGGGAACTAGTGATACTGAATCAGGTAATAAAATAGTGTTAGATAGAATTTCCAGCAGCTTGTTAAGCTGCTTGTCGAATGTCTGAATCATTTCCGGTCTGACATGTATTTACATGCTTGGTTTATGTAGATCTTTTATGTATTAGAAATCATATTTTTATGCATTATAAATAATTGGAGCGCGAGGCTCAAGAGAGCCCCGGTCCCTTCAGAGCGCCGGTTCAGGGGGTTAGGAAACTCGATGAAAACAAGGGGGAGGCGCGGTGAAATTTAATCCTAAAAATAATTAGCTCAGGGGACATCTAGTTCAACAAATATTTTATTAAAGGTAATCCAAATACGGGGTGAAACAAATAAGTTCAAATTAAAAATAAATTGAAATTGAAATAAAAATAATTAAAAATACAAAAATCAGAATTAAAAGAATTAAATTATTATTTCAATTTCTCCATTCTTCCAGGACTGATCATTCCAGAGTGTATTTGTTGTTGAGAGGGGCGGGAAAGACAGGAAAGACATGGGAAACAAATAAAAGATTTAAAGGGGAGATAAATGGTTTGGGAAAGGGATATTGTGAAATTGAAGAAATAAAAATAAATTAACGGGGAATGGTATCAGATGTCCCCGCTACATTTCCTTGGGTAATTATTGTTTCAACCTCTCACTGGAGAGGGTAATTATTTGAGAGAGCCCCGCTACAAAATGGAAGATATGTACTATAATATAAACAAAAAATCGTAAACCTGAATGCATTTCAATAAAGCTACTAGTCGATTGCGACTGAATAAAGTTTTTTAGACTGAGGTATATAAATACCTTGTAAATACGATCGAAGTATATAAGAATCTATTATTTAGATACTGAATCATCTGATACTGAAAATCCTTCTAACTTGTCCTCCACATCAACAAAAGGGAAAGAGAAGGTAGTGGCAGCTGCAGAAAGTTCTAATCAGTCTGAAAAAATTAATTTGGAAAATTCGAAATTGAATCAAATTGTTGAATATATTATACATAACATTAATGATATAAATAAGCCTGACAAATTGATACAGTCTATTGACAGAATGCGCCCTGTTATGCTTAAAAATAAATATTATTCGAAAAAGGATATCAGAATATTGAACGGGTTTGAATTTTTATTTGGAGGGGGGGGGGGGGGTGGAAGGATTGTATGGAAGAGGGATTGGATGGAAGAGGGATTGGACAAGAGGGATCGACGTTGGATGGAGGGGGGAAGGTTCGATTTCTTCTGATAGTTATGCAGTGGGACTTTCCTCGCTTCTGATTAAGTCAATGAGTTTTATTAATTTTATTAAGTTTTATGAGCGAAAATGCAAAAATGTTAAATCTCCACCCATCTGATTATTACATAAGACAACAACTTCAGAAATTTGTTGGAAATGTAAAATTTCAAATATTTTGTAACGGAAATGAAAATCAATTTGAGCAACTGAGTTCTGCTTTTGAGAGAGTCCGAAATAATTATGGAACTATGATTAACTCAGTAAAGGAAACTGTGAATAAATCAAATAATTTAAGTAATCAAGCTATTGTAGGTTTTTATCGTATTTTTTACTTTGAATATTTAATCCAGAAATAGCTAATGTAATAATTATAGGACGGATTTATATTGAAATAAAGTACATAAATGACCTTGGTAATGAACAAGCCTTGTCTGACCATTAAGTTCAAATAGAAGAAAGACCACTGATACATAGATGTAATAATAAATGGAGAGGCAGTGTCGATACGCGGTCATGGTCGCTTCAGTGATTTATTTCCGTAAAAATCAGCCTTCTAGTAATAATTGTAGTCCTTTTACTACATTTTTTCTTCCAGAAGACACTGGAAAAAGCTAATCTTTCTTTAATTATGTTCACATATGTTTATGTCACAAGGATTAGAGTGAAATCTAATTCCTTCCATACAACTTTTAAACACAGACCTGTTCAAGGATACTGCTTTTGGTATCTGTATCCGGATATTTACAGCGAAACAGGCGGATATCCGCAGGCATCTTGATATTATCTGTATCCATATTCGTGTCCATGAGTAGGCCTGTTTAAACCTACTTTAACACTAATATTTAAAAATAGCAAATTCTAAATTATTTTATTTTCCTAGAAATATTACAATGACTTTCGAAAATACACTCAAATTGCTTCCAACGCCGAACAAGCAACTCTTTCATTGAAGGAACTAATATTAACAGAATATAGCAAATCTAAGGAATTACAACGAGATGTTCTAATTTATATAAATCCAAATGAATCCAAAAAAATTGAATATGACCAATTAGAACCCTATTTCAAATTATACTGTTATGTTAAATTTATCAAAAATGACGGAGAAGAATTTTTTATTAATGCGATGGAGACTATAAATGAGGTATGCGTGAGAAGTTTTTTTATTTCTTTTGATTGTTCCATATGTGTTGTTTGTTGAATTATAGGAAAAGGTTCTCGGCAGTCGTCTTCCCCACTATAACAGTCAAAAAGTAATTTTCATGCTTGAGTTTCTTTCTACGCCCCTAAACAACCAGACTTTAGTTTTTGAAGGCACACGACCTCGTCCATACTTTCGAAGGACAACAACCGTCTTATCTATTTCACATATTATTCCTATAAATTTGAAAATGTTATTACAAAATATTTTAAAATACCTTCTCCTCCATCATTGGGTTCCTTATGAAATAAAGTTCTTACTAAAGTTCTTATAACCGTTAAATGTTCCTTTTATATCAACCGGGAATATTTTTATTTTATTTTAGAGTTTAGCCAAATTATGTGTAGAAGCTCTCCTAACCTAAAGAATTTTTTTTAATTTAGGAAAAAGTAAAACAAGTAAAAAGTTCAACACAACAACAAACCATACAAGAGCAATGGAATTATTTAAAGAGGGCTTTGAATAGTTTTATTCTGACATACAATAGATTTGATAAATTTTGCAAGTTGGAGGATAATATGAAAATTTTAGAAATGTATAATGGACACCAATGTGGTGATTATATTATCAGCTCTGATTTACCGGAAATTTTGGAAGAATTTGTCACGATTTAGATATATCTGATTATAGAAAGTAGATTTGAATGTAAAACAAAATTGATGTATAATACATCTCCATTCCGTCCACCCATATGTATTCTTTACACTTTTATATTATTTTTTCCACCCACCCAAAAAAACTTTTCTCGTCGACAATTCCGTCCACCCATATTCTAAAATAACTGTTAAGTATCCCCAACATATACAGTATTACTAAATAATGTATTTAAATTTTAAAGACAATTGATGTTTTTATAACTTTTTTTAATGTGACCTTATAAACCGTATTGTCTCTAATATAGTCCATGGGCTTCTATTTTTCAATACCACTCATTGAGTGGGCTCTGGGCATGGGCTTCTATTAGGGCATTGGCTTCCATTCGGGCATGGGCATTTATTTTTCATTAACCATCATTGGTTGGGCTTCTATTAGGGCATGGGATTCTATTGGAGATGGGTTTCTATTAATGACAATGCGGTATGTAAGTTGTTCTTAGAGTCCCTTATATAGAAAACTATTTATTTATATTTAGAAAATATTTCTTTTGATTAGGTAAAAAATTAGTATTATAATTGTGAAATCATTTTTGAAGATACAAGATCTTTTCTTTGATATTAATTTTTTAATCTTTGTAAATAAACTTTCTAAAGTTAAAGCATAAATTTTTAAAAATATGTATAATATTTAAATTTTAAAAATTAATTACCAAATAATATAAAACACATAATACAAACAAATAATATAATCGTTTAAAATTTTAAACATTGCCTTGCAAGAAAAGCTGCCAGTTTAGCAGAGCTGTATTCAGCGCTCTTTCCCTCGTCAAAAATTTTTTCCAATTTTATGTCAATAATATAACATGTGATTTACTTTCCTTTATTATTCCACCTGTATTTTAAAGTTATTGAGTAAATCTCTTCATTCTTTTATGTTTTTGATTTAAACAACTTGGTAAAATTTTAAATAGCATGTAGAGACAAGTTATAGTCTCTATTTTAGGGCTAACAGAATTCGGCGAGTCTTTCAAATATAAATTTTTATTCACTCCAGAAAATAACATAATAATGGCAGGCCATTGTCCTTCTCCGTTAAAAAAATTTTTTTCAATGGCAAGTTAATAAACAGACATGTGCGTTTTTTCGTGGCAAAGTAAAGGCAGAATAAGTAAAAATTTTTATTTTTTTCTTTCTTTTAGTTTTGCTTAACATTTTGTTGGTCATGGTGATGATTAGGGACAGGATTTCTAATATGCAAATAATTGACTGAAATTTTTAAAAAATTTTTTTAAACATTTTACTCAAAAATTCAAGATAAAGTTGGAATAAAAAAAGTGAAAATTTTAGATAAAAAAGTGGAAAAGGAAAAGTTATAATAACAATATAATAATGACAGAGTTTTGAATCTCTCTAGAATAAATTTAAAAAATAAAGATTTGTTATAATGCTAATGAATAGGACCACAGAAAGTGTCTTGAAAGAAAATATGAACTCGAAAAGTTGGAATAATGACAGAAATAATATAGTAACGACAGGAACGTACAAAAATTCTTTCCCCACTGACGATTACTTAAGACATTAACTCCATCTATCAACATATCACTCAGTTGTGTAGTAGTGGGAAACACTGATATGTAGTGGGAAACATGCAATTTCAAATTTTTTCTCGAAGTTCCCAAATTATTTGCCCACCATATCCAGAAACATGACTGACAACTGAATAATGCTTAAGTATAATGAAATCAGTGTTATTTCTGATTGTAAGGATGATTCACCTAGAAGCATTTAAAACTCTTAGACGTGGGTTAAACAATCTAAAAAGGAAAAAGAGAAAGCATTAGTCGATGCCCCGGTAGCTCAGAGGTAGGATCATTTAATGGTAAGCGAAAGATCCTAGCAATAACTAGAAAGTGTCGCAGGTTCAATCCTGCCCGGTGGCTAAAAAAATGCAAACTCTTTCTTGATCAACGGAGAAAGAATTTTTGCATGTTTATGTCCTCCATAGAAATCACTCAACTAATCATAGGGATCCAAAAATCTTGTCTTCTTTTAACAATGTTTACTCTCTATTGTCTTGATTATCATCTGAAGGTAAATCTTCAAGATAATCTAAATAAAATTATAATTAATTTTGAAAAAATTTAGTTTAAGATCCAAAGTTCCCTCTATTTCCATCCAATTTTTGTGAGAAAAAATTATTTGAGTTTAATCAAATAATTTTATTTCTCGGTAATAATATGCCTTTTACAAATCAAATAGTTTGAAAAAACTTTGAAATTATGTTGCCAACGCTCTAAGTTGTATCTCTATTTTAATATTTATCAGATATAATAGGTGGAGTATTATTTGAACTTCCAGTTGTTGCATGAGGATCTAGAAAACGATTTTCAATTTGTTTAAAACGCCTCATAATTTAAATATTTACTTTCGCTAGTTTGACAGTTTCCGCAATGATGCCCTTGCTGAGCTATTCTTGCTTGCCGAGCAGCAATTCTTGTACTTCTTTTCGTTGGTGTCTGTGTATTAGGCTCTTGACGGGACGGTTGTTGTGGCACATTGTTGACTCTTGAGGTTGAAGCTCCCTCATTTGGTTCGTAAGGAGCTTGAGCCTGATAAAATTTTATTTTAAGTTGGTATCCCAGGAACGCTATCCTCCGTATCACACAGTGAATATTATGATAGAAATATGAATTCTCTCAATTTCATCAGTGATTGATGAGGGTAATATATATTAGAGCAGTAAAATGTTTTATTAATGAAGGGTACCTCTCCATGGACGTTTAGGCGAGCATGTTCGACATGTTGAAATTCTAAATTTTATTTTTATGAAATACTCCATAATTGGTAAATATATTTACCTTGACGAGGTCTTAATTCTAAAGAGCTGACTCTTGGAGGCACCAAGTGTGAAGGACATCCATCTTGATTGTAACAATCATCTAAATTTCTTGTTTTTTTCCTTTTTACACAATCCAATTCCTTCCAAATCAGAGCAAATAATAATATCAAAGCAATGCCGAATACATGCATTTTTGAATTTTTTTAAAATTCTGAAATTTGAAAAGAGCAAATTATCATAAAAGTTTAGCAAAAGTGCGCAACGTTTAAGTTGATTTTTGGAGAATAGGGACGGTTAGAACACTTTCTTACCGCGGAATAGGATACCGAATCACACTGAAGACTCATTATTAAGTTTTATTACCCTTTAAAAACACATGCCTCTACGCATAGCCCTCACTTGCATTTGATTGAGAACTCTAAAGCGCGCTTCACGAGCTACCCCTCCCTTTCCACCCCTTCCGCCTCTCCCTCTCAAAGAGACAAAAAATCAATTAATAAAATTTTTAATAATTAAAAAATAAAATTAAAAATATTATTACATGCTATTTTAAATTTTAAAAAGTTTAATAAATTGAATCATAAAAGAAACAATTTTAGATTTTGCCGGTAGCCGGGCATTTATTAAATGATACACACATATTTACAGTTATCCCGGCCGATTTACATTTGTATTTGCAGGGACTATTTAATTACATACTAGAGATCGGTATTGAATATGCAAATAATAGCTCATTCGAAAGAGCTCCGCGAGCTGAGTCGAATGACATCAATTTTTTAAGGATTTATTTAAAAATAATTGGTGGATTTGGAGGCTGGGCGCATTAGCTTTGTCGGCATGTCTCTAATAAATTTATTAAATCAGTTTGGCCATTCGCTAATTTTTCCTCTGTCGGCAGTCGTTTTGGCAATCTCATGGGTCCGTCAATTATTGTCAACGCCTTTATTTTCTCTATCTATTTCTTTCCCCATCACTAATGAATTTTTAATATAATTTTTTCTCTAAAAATTTTTCTCTAAAAATTTTTATTTATTAGAGTTTTTTGCCTTGTAGATTTTAATTATATATTATGAAAGAATTAAATAAAAACTCGGTAAAATGTATTCAAACTTCATAGGACCGAGTTACAGGCCTCGTAAATTGAAAATTGTCGGGGTCAAAAAATGCAAATAATAGCTCATTCTAAAGAGCTCGACGAGACAAAATCAGGCGATTGATGAATTGGAACAAAGATATGACCAACAGAATCTTCATTGGGAGACCTGTTATTTTGCCGCCTCAGTAACATAAACCTATTTCGGCTTCGTCTAGAGCGGCAAAAACTATTTTCCGTAAAGGCCTTATGTTTCCGTAAAGGCCTTATATGACTTATAATTTGATTTATTTGCTCCGCGTTCATAACACAAATATACCAGATTTTAAAATATCGTTCGCAAAATTTTAAACTTGTATTATTTTATCCTTATTTTTATAATCTACACAAACATAACTAAATTATTTTTCGAAAATTTCAGGACTCTTTTGAAAAGCTATTTGTAATGCGTGCAATCGCAATTGTTTTCATATTATTCTTTATAATGCTTTGGAACGAAATAAATTGTATGCCTAAAAGTAAAACAAAAGGGTTAAATAAGCTTTCTAATTCAAAAAATCCTCATCAACCTGAAGCTTCAAAGACCGCTATACTTGCTTTAGAAGCTCCTAAAGGTAAATAAAATTTAAATTACGGAGACTTTTTCAAATGTGCACAATTTTAAAATTTATTTAAGCTCATCAACAAGCAGCCGAAGGAGCTAGAAACTTAATGCATCTAAGTAAAGGCAAGATGGTTAAACCAGCTGTTAAAGAAAATGAGGGTACGACAAGTGAAGCTCAACAAGCTGACGATTAAGAAAGCATAAACGAATGAAGTTTATTTGAGAAACAAGGAGACGAGGAATTGTAGATTATTTAGGTGATTACATTCATTTGCTCATTTTGGTTGTTAATTTTTGAGCAAAATCCTTTCCTATCTTTCTTTGCTGTCCCTTTACGATTGTAATGGTTGCATAACTTTTTATCTCTTAATTATAGAAAGAATTCCGATTTCCCGTTTTATGAAATGTCTTGCTAAAACGTTGAACCTTTCTGATGTTCATTATCACTAAAACGAAATTTTTTTGCTTAATTACAAAAAATT